ACTGAATTAGAAACTAATATTCTAACTCTAAATGATGCAAACTAAAATTAACATGAACTAGAAATTTAAAGTTTGACTAAGGAACATGATGAGAAAGTAAAGAGAAAATGAAAATTTTCAAAAAAGTCACATGAAAGAACTAAAAAATTAACCAAACAACAGCTATGCTAAAACAAAAGTTTAACGATTCACAAAATAAAAATGCAGATTTAAAATTCTCTAATGAACATGAGCTTAAATTGAACTAAAGTAAGATCAAACAACAAGTTTACTAAAGATTTCAACAAAAAATTCGTAGCAAAATAAAAGAAAAATAGCTCAACCAACTAGCAAACTAAATAGCACTAAAAAATGCAAAAAATAGAGCATGCACTACAAATGTGATCCAAACAGCTATCAAATGCAACAAAAATAAACTGGATAAAGCAAGAATCAATAAGTAAAAAAGTAAAACTAAGAATTTAGAATGAAAAGAAGGCAAACAACACACCAAGGAGAGAGCAACTCCATGACAAAGTGATTGATCACATCTAACCTACACCTATCATTTGCATCCAGATGAATATTCCAAGCTTGATTAGAATGCTGTGGTGATAGTTTGAGGATGAATTTTTAATATGTTGTAGCTAATTGAATTAGGAAACTATGAAAAAAAATTGAACAAAAACAAGCAAGATTTGAATGAGATATCATAAAAAAACCACAAGTAGGTTAGAACTGGCAAATTTAAAAACATATTATCAATGAAAAATTAGTAGATTTGAGCTAGAAATCAATAAAATTTGTAAGTTTCATTACCAAATCATAAAGAACACTGAAAAATACTTAAGAAAATGTAAAAGTACAATCAAAATCAATGGAAAAATATGAAAATCAAGGGTTGTTTGGTCGTTACAAAAATAAAATACAATAAAGGCAAATGCAAAAATTAAAGAATAAGAAAAATAAAATTCTAAGCTAAAGTCTCTCTACAATGGCTGGCTACTCTCCTATTTATAGGCAGGTAAGTGCTGAATGAAACCCCAAAAAATCTCTCCAAAATATCCATAATGAGGTGAGCTTCTAGAGACTTCTTTCCTCCTTACTTTCATACTTGGTGTATGGCTGTTTGTAGGCTTCTTTATTCTTCGTCAAGTGCAAGCCTTCATAATGCTTTTTGCCACTTCTAAAATGTCAAAGTTATTACCAATGAAAGCTCTCCAATATGCCATGTCTTCACCTCTTGAAGTTTTCCTTTGAATGCCACAATGTGATGTCCAATTCTGATGCAAATAAAGGTTGCATTCCACGCCACTAGTGCACCATCATTTCCTTGTTAAGCCTCTTGCATGCATGTATGTTTTCATTTTTTGCTACAAAAAATTCAAGTATTCCATGAGCAAATTTAACAATAAAATGATTAAAAAATGCTGAAAATAATGCTAAAAAAAATTCAAGAAAGAAAATTAATGACATTAGTTTTAGGTTATTTTCACAATTTGCATCAAAAATCCTTCAAAATATATCTAAATTGACCAAATTTCTCATTTTCTCTATTTTTACCTATATATGAGAAAAATGTGCATTTAAGAATAATTTTACCAAAAATCTTAAAGAATAAACCAAAATATGAATTAAACTGCACCAAGCTAAAATTTTAGTGCAATCAACAAGCCCTAAAACCGTCAAAATCCCAAAAACCACTAAAAAGTCCAAAAATTAAAAACTGCCATCAAAGCCCCAAAACTATTGAAACACCACCGTTTGACCCATCCATCTCCGTCTGTCCCTATCCAGACATCCTTGTCCATTCATCACAGCCCATCCGTCAGTTGATCTCGATCCATCTATCCCAATCCTTCCATCCATTCTAACACATTCACCTATATCTATCCAACTACCCCCGTCCATCCGTCTATCCCCCTATTTCATCATCCTCATTCGTCCATGGCCATCCCTATATGTTCGTCCCCATCTGTCTTCTTTCATCATTTGACCTATCTTTCTATCCCTAGATAGTCGAATAGGCGAATAGACAGACAAATGGGTAGAGCCAGATAAACAGGTAGAGCCACACGAATAGGTGGAACCAAACCAATAAGCGAAGTTAGATTTACGGAGTGGGATAAACTGATAAAGTCGAATGGAGCCAAACAAACCAACGGAAGGATAAAGCTAGACGAATAGAATCGAACGAACTGGCCTAGCCAAACAAATAGAGTTGGATAGAAAAAACCAAATCAACTAGTAGAGCTGAACTTATTGAGTAGGATGGACGGGCAGAGCCAGACGGATAAAATAAAATGAATGGATGGAACCGGATGGATAAATGATCAAATGTAGCAAAAGCCAGACGGGCGAAGCCAAATAAAGCCAGACAAATGGGCCAAGCTTACAAAAGGACTGACTGAGGTGAATGAATGAACGGACGAAGCCAGATGGACTAATAGATGGAGCCAAACAGACAGACTTAGCCAGACAGACAAATAAAGCCAGATAAAGTCGATCAAAAAAAGATAGATTGATGGAGCCAGATAGAGTAGGGCAGATAAATGGATCCAATCGAAGTCTTAAGGATAGAGTCAAACAGACAAAGTAAAATGAAAGCAGATAGGATTGGACAGACGAACAAAGTCCAATGGACTGTGCCAGATAGAGATGAGCAAATGGACAAAGTTAGACAACCGTACTTGAAAGGACATACAAACGAATCCATACAGTCGAACAGAGTTCGATAAAAAAATGGGTAGAGCTGGATAGACAAACGAGGCCTCACAAAATGAGTCAGATGGATGGACAGAGCCTCATGGATGAAGTCGGATGGATGAAGCTGGATGGATGAGCGGGCGAAGTTGAATGGACAGACGAACAAACACACGAAACCAGACATTTGTAATTGGGCAAACAGTGACGGACAGATGGACCAGAATGTGACCCTAGGTTTATAGTTTAAGGTTTAGGTTTTAAGGTTTAGAGTTTAAATTCCTAGGTTTAAGGTTTGAAAGTCTCATATTTAAGGTTTATGGTTTGAGATTTAAGGTTTTGGGTTTTGAGTTTCAAGTTTTAAGGTTTTTAGATTAGGGTTTTAAAGTTTAGGATCTCGAGTCTCAGGTTTAGATTTTAGGATTTTTGGTTTATGTTTTTGGATCTTGGGTTTAAGGTTTAAGATGTAATGTTTTAAGGTTTAAGGTTTTGTGTATAGAGTCTAGGGTCTTTGTATTTAGGTCTCGAGTTTAGGGTTTTAAGTTTTAAGATTTTGGTTTTAGGGTTTATAGTCTTGGTGTTAGGGTCTAGGTCTCTAATCTCGAGTCTCTAGTCTTGGGTTTAGGGTTTTGGGTCTCTAGTCTCGATTTTAGGGTTTAAGATTCAAAATTTTAGAGTTTAGGTTTTAGGATTTAAAGTTTTGGTTCTATAATTTTATGTTTTAGGGTCTCGGGTTTGGAATTTAAAATCTAGTGTTTAAGGTTTAAAGTTATAGGGTTTAGGGTTTTAGGGTTTCATGTTATAATTTTGGGGTCAAGTAGTTTTAATGTTTAGGGTCATGTGTGATTTAAGATTTGATGCTTTGGGTTTCAGGTAATGATTTTAGGGTGAAACAATTTTAAGACTTTGAAAGGGTTAACAGGTTTGGTGTTTTTAGGGTTTCAAGTGGCAGATTTGGGGTGGAGTAGTTCTAATATTACTGGTGTCAAGCTAGCAAGTTTGGTGGCTTTAGAATTTCAGGTGATGATTTTGGGTTGGGTCAATTTTAAGATTTTGTACAGGGTTAGTGAGTTTGATGTTTTTATGGTTTTAATTGATGATTTTTTGGGTGAAGCTATTTTTGGGTTTCAGGTGTGGGTTAGCAAGTTTGGTGGGTTTAGGTTTTTAGGTATCAGTTTTGGGACGGAGTAGTTTAAAGGTTTTGGGTGATAGGTTATCAACTTCGGTGTTTTTAAGGTTTTGCTTGGCGATTTAAGGCTTGGGGTCTCGAGTATTGGGTTTAAGGTTTATGATTTAGAGTTTTAATGTTTCAAAGTTTAGGGTTTAGGTTTTAAGGTTTAAGGTTTAAAACTTGGGGTCTCGAGTATTAGGTTTAAGGTTTAGGATTTAGAGTTTTAGTATTTTAAGGTTTAAGGTTTAGGTTTTAAGATTTAAAGTTTAGGTTTAAGGTTTATGGTATTTAGGTCTCAGGTTTAGGGTTTGAGATCTAAGATTTGAGTTTTAGGGTTTAACGTCTAGTGTCTCGAGTCTTAGGTTTAAAGTTTACATTTTAAGATTTATGATTTAGGATTTAAAGTTTTGGGTTTTGGGTTTTTTAAGTTTTGAGTTTTAGATTTTAAAGTTTAAGATTTAGAGGGTAAGGTTTTAATGTTTAATATTTACGATGTTGAGTCTCAAGTCTTAGCTTTAGAGACCACTTCAAACCCTAAAATTGCTTTACTCTAAAATTATAATCCGAAGCTCTAAAAAAACTAAACCCGTTAACCCCTCACTCAAAACCCTAAAAATGCTCCATCTTAAAATCACTATCCAAAACTCTAAAACCATCAAACCCGTTAACTTCCCACCAAGTGTCTTCAAAAACTAATATATGAAATTAATACATTAAGCACATAATTCATATTATTTGATAAAAATATTTATGTTTATTTATGTTTATCTATGAACGTTAAAAGAACCCACCAAAATAATATTTAAAAATTAACAAATACTAACATTGCATATCTAAATTTAAAAAAAAAAAATAGATATCATATTATTATTTTATATCCCATTTTTTTTAATTTATTTATATCATGTTTTTGTCTTATTCTTGATTTTTCATAACCAACTTTTAAATTCTTTTTTTTTAAGAAAATGATAAATCAAAATGAAAAAAATTATAATTTTATCTACTAATAATTTAAATATTTCATAAATAGATTTATTTATACAATTTAATTTTTATAAACTACTGATATAAAGTATTAAAAAGACAAAACAACATCCATTATATAATATGAATAACATAAAATACAATTGCAAACCAACAAACTAAATTCATTTATTACATTTACGTATTCGTACAATATAACACATTAGTGTTTACATGTCATGTCATGCTGACACAATATAAGACATTAGTATTTATGTCATATCATGCTGACTCATTTATCATGTGCTAACACTAACCCTTGATAAATCAAATCATGCCAACTCAATGAATCCAAAATCTCTAACCTATCAATACATAAATATATGAATCATACTTACATAACATATAATTATAAAAATAAATCATACAAAACACAATTCATATCATATCAAATCGGGTCATATCATGAGTTGTCGAACCCGTTCGATAGCTCTACAATCAACCCATCCACAGATCAAATGGAACCCATGCTAGTTGACAATAAACAATGAAAGCCATCAAAGTCCAAGACCGTCAAGCAAAACACAACGATCAGGGTATTTGATAGACATTGCAGGATATGCGAGCCAAGACGCCACCATTTTTTCACAATAATTTCTCATTTCTAATTAAAATTCTGGTACACTATATGAAAGCTAGAAAAATTACTATAAAGAGACAGATTTACTTGAGCCTAATTATCGCGTAAATCAGACATTAACAAGTATTTTTTTACCTAATCGGAAATCTCCTCCTGGAATACACAGCCAAAATGAAGTGGAGTAAAATATAAGCACATAAAACTACAGCTCGGTTCCTGAAGCCTTCCCCAATTGATCTTCATTTCCAATCGCCACCCCAGATGAAGGATCAAATTGCTTTCCCATGAAAACTGACTGCATTTGTTGGTGGGAGGCACTAATGCTTGACTCTAATATCTGGTGTGGAAGTACCATCTCAGGTTTAGCAAATGCTGCAGCCATGCTCACCCGTTGCTTCTTCAACCTCTCCCCCTTAGGACTCCCTGCAGGGGAACCAACATGGCAACCGGAATCCGGGGTCAAAGGTTCATGGTGAGATGAGAAAGACTCGTCAACAGAGTGGCTCTTGGAAGGGGCTCGTTCTTTGGCAGCCTTATCTTGTAGAGGGAATTCTGAAGTTGGGGCTGGAGTTGCAGGGTCAGTCTTCTTGTCAGATTCCACGCCATTGTCACCCAATGCTGGGACTGAAGTTCCTGAGCCAGGTGCTTCCGCAAGGACTCCACTAAGACGTTGTTGCTCTTCAATAATTTTCTTTAAATACTTTCCTTGAGCCTCTATCCGCAACTGTAGCTGTCTCTGCACCTGTTGTACATCACAGGTACAGAAATTGTAGGCTTAGAGCTTAGAAATATGTGTTTTGGGAAAACTCAACAGGTAAATACAACACCTGAAACTTTATGCACAGAAATATAGCACATTGTTATAGTTTAATAAAGAACACACAGAAAATAGTGAATGTTGTTGACAACCCTCAATACCATGCTACTCTGAAATAGCAAGCAGAGCCCAGTAATAACATGATAATTAAATTAATACTAAATTTGCATTGAGAATACATGCCTCCAATTGTTCATGCAAGCGCTTTTGCACCTCCATCTGCAACTTTAGAGCTTCAGTAATTTGCACCCCACTGCAAACAGGAAAAAAAAAAACCCTCTCAACTCTAGGCAATTCAAGTTGATCAATCAATTTAAGATGAAGAGATATTTCATCATTTAAAGAATAAAATTCCTTGGATGTTTAACACACTCTGGGTTTTATCCATTGGTGGGATAAAATATGAAATTATTAAAATATCCATTTTGATTTTGGACACAAGGCATAGGAACAAGAGATGGCAAGAGGTAGGCTGCCTCCTACTTTTGAACTACTCAGAACGAACAAGAATTGAGGTAACCAACCCAGGCAGCCAATACCCAACTAAGTAGCTGAACCGCATATTCATTAGAGAATGATTTGTGCACCCAACTCCAAAACTAAAATTTAATGAACATTAGTTTTATGCATTTTATTCATCATTAATAAAAATAAACTAAAGTAACCAGAAATAAATTATTATATTGAACAATTAAAACTTCAAAAAGTAATCTATTAACATTAGGTAATAGAGAAATAAAAATAAAATATTACAACTAAAACTTACAATATTCATCACTAATGGCGGGTTGGGATAGCAGGCAACCTATAGTCACTACAGAAACCCAATATGGATTATCGTTTTACTTTACTGATTTATAGGGTACCCAAACCCTATTTAATCACATTAGATGGTGTCCGGTGCTGGGATAACAGTATCCTTTCCCCTTCCCTAAGATTATTTAGCAATTTTCATATGCATGACAACTTCCAACATGTTTCTTTATTCCTGCAAGTCTTACGGTTTTCTTCTGCATGTCAATATGAACTCTTCCATCTTAAACCTCAAGAAACATGTTGAAACTAACAAGAACTATTCTGACAATTGATATTTTAAAAAAAATAAAACAAAAAACACAAACTGAAAAAGCTGTCACTTACGATGGACCATCCAAATTAGAAAGCATATCCCCAGTTTCTTTCTTGTCAGGCTTTTTACCTTCATTAACACATAGAATAAACAAGCAATATTAAGAAGAGAAATTTCTTACGAAACAACTCAAGTTATAATGAACTTGAAGATTTCAATGCCGCATGAAGAATGAACTTAATGGGAGGAGAACAATTCTAACAGTACCAGTTAATTTCTACATAAAAAATAAAAATTATAAAGAAACAGATAAACCTACCGTCAGAAGAAGAATCAGGAAGATATTTTGCAAGTCGGTATTTCTGGATGCATCACAAAAGTAGAGTCAACAAAAGCCACAAACAATAATTGGGAATATTAAATGAACCACTCAACAAAAACCCCACTCCTCTTGAGGCAACTCCGAACCAATGTGCATAAATAAGTACACTTCTTCATTAGGTTGAAAAGAGAACTATATACCTGTAAATGGCTCTTGACATGGTATATTGTCAAACCCTGCACACCCATTACTCTGAGAACTCCTTTTGGTGTAGCTCCTGAGAGGGGAAAAAAAGAAAGAAACTTGATCACCATTATACACTTTTCCACATATAAATGTTCAAATTTTAAGGTATTTAAAATTTCTGAATAACCATGTTCATATAAAAAATATAGCCACCACAGCAATCCTTTTTATGCAATTTACCAAGAAAAGTTTTTATAGATAATTCTCAACAGACACGAGATTAGATGAAAGAGAGATGCTTCAAGTTACAGAATCCCACTAACATTTTAAGTTTCCAGGAATGTAGAGAATTAATTTCCTGTTGTCTAAAATACCTTGTTTCATTAATCTTGCACCAAAAGAAAGGCAGCAGCATTTACAACCTTTAACAAACCATTTTTTTTATCTAATGGCCGACTAGTCAATCACAAGCACATACATATTCAGGCTAAGAATTAATTATTAGTTAGGGTGATCTTTGATGAGACTCACGATCTGGCCCACCAAGTTGCGCTACAGCATCAACAAAACGTTCATGAAGGTCATGCGTCCAGCGCAATCGTTGCTTTGATGCAAGATTAGGGTTGTTGGTGAGACTGTTCCCTCCACTTATGGGATCCATTGGGCTAGCACCACAATCTAAATGCTGACCATGAGCTAATGAGTTGTTACAAACTAAACTTGAGCCAGGAACAGTCTTCGGTTGATACATTCGCTGTTCATCTACAAACAAAAGGGAGTACACAGACTCATAAAGAGCAAAATAACCGAAAAGTGTTGATAGATTCCACATTGGTCTACAATCATAGTTAAGAAAAAGCCAAAAGCATAATAGATGCAATTCTCACCATCTGAACAGAAAGGAAAGAGGAAGGGCCAGGAAAGCATGAATGGAAGAATTATTAGCCCCATTAGCCAACCAACACCATACATGCATTCTCTTCTTCTTCTCTAGTTATTATTTTAGTGTTTTGCTGAAGAGTGCCTTTCCAAGGTTACTATTTAAAGAAATATCATCATTAAATGCATTCAGAATCATCAAATTATCTATCAACTGCTGCAGATAATATGAAAATATTTTCATAATAGCATCTTAATATCGTTTGCTAGCAAAAAACCTTATTGTCATTATAATTTTTATGATATGACTGAAACTAAAGTATACACTTACCAAGACCATGGTTGAAATCAAAAGTAAAAGCAAAGACACAACTAGAGCAAGCTGTGAAGAGTCATAAAATATATCCATAGTAGAGGAGGGGAACCATAATCTCCTTGCAATCAGAATCAATTCAAATTTTCATCACCATTTCCATAAGCACTGAGTCTTCCTTATTATACACTAATATTGCATATAATTATCCATTTGGCTTTTCCTAATGCAACAGAGAGCACAGCATCTCAAACCTAAAATTGCTACCCCAACTTTCTCCAACAAACAAGCTAAATCATAATCTTTTAAAGAAACCACTACCAGAATATATGTCCATAAAACCTTTTTTATAATGTTTTGAAGCCAGCTCTCAAAGAATCTAGGAAGTGGAGATGTCTCATAGAAATGAAAACCTAATTTTTTTTCCCTATTGGAAGAAAAGATTAGGCACAAACGTCTTTCAGTCTTTCACTTGATGTTCTTGAGTTCTGCTTTTAATAATGATATGCATATCTGAACCGTTATAAACTAAAGATTTCATTTGTTTGACATGCAAAACTTTTATACAGTGAAATCAGCATTTATGCCAGTAAATAAACAAAATGGTTAAAGATAGTTGCATCCTATTTTAAAAATTCAGTATGAATCAACGAAGAGCAATAAAAAAAGCCTTCTTTGTTTTTTGGGTTTGTGGTGGAGAGGAATGATGATGGGCGCTCTTTAATTTTGAAAACCAGGTTGCTTCAGCTTTAGGCTGCATGTAGAAGCAAAGAGTTCTTAAAATTCCAAATCTTTGTAAAACATCCTCTTGCAATCTAAAGGGAGATCTAAAGGGCAAAGGATTATGTAGAATAAGGTTTAAAACATGAAAAGGGCTGGCCTGGGGAAGGCACAAGCAGCCGTATATAACATTAGCAGTTTATAAGAAGGAAAAAGATGGTAGAATATTCCCACTGCCATACTATTAACCCCGTCCCTAAGAGGGAAATGAGTATTTGAAAAGGGAAAGAGAAATTAACATAAGAGTGACAAAAAAACTGGAGTGCGGTGGTTGTACAAATAGAAAGGGGTGTGGAGCTGAATGATATTGTATGCATACAACACGTAACTGAAATGAGAGATGAGAAAATGGATACTATACAATAAAAGTGAAGAAGAAAAGATAGGATTTTTTTTTTTTGTTAGGCCAGAAAAGAGAAGATGTTGAGTTACCGTTGATTAAAGGCATTGGGAGTTGGGGAGCAGATTGTCCAAATATGCTTGATGTAATCCTCTATCCTTTAAAACCACAATTATCATCAAATCACAGGTTAAAAAAACATAATTCCTAATTCTGTTCTATTCTATTCTATTCTATTATACTAAATCTCTAAACCAATTGGGAGTATAGCAAACCGAAAGCCCAAAAACCAGGAGGAAATATCGTTTTATATATGTAGTAAATATTCCTTCTTCTTTTTTCATTTACTAATAAAAAAGGAAAGGAAAAGTAAGAAATGCAGCGATTAAGATGTCAGAAATAGAAATTAGGGAAATTAGTTAGGGTCATGTGGGTGTTTGTACATATATATGGAAAGAAAGAGGAATTGAAAACAATTTTTTTGTTCTTGTAAAAAAAATAAATAAACAAGGTAACCAAATAGAGCGCAAAAGGCAGAGGAAGCTGCGAGGAGGACGTAAAAAGAAAGTTGGAGAAGAAGTAACAGCTAAAGTGCAAAGAGAGGGAAAGAGGAGAGCATACCAGAAGCAGATCTAAAAGCATCCCACACCTTAAAATTTCGCCCCTCACTCTTCGACGACGTAAATATAATTTAAATTTTAGTAATTTTCATCGAAAATGATTAGTAATCTACAAATATTTGGAGGCCAAAGTCGAGGGGAAAGAAAAAGTCCAAAGAGGCAGAGAAGAAGCTTACACCCACCCAACCACCCCACAGGCCAGGCCCCACAACTACGATTTCTTCTTTCTTTTTTTTTTTTTTTTTTTTTTGGCTAAAATGCTGTATATACAAATAGTATGTAACGTACGTAAGCAGATAGATAATTTAAGTAAGAAAAAAAATTATCTCTATTCTCTATATTTCTGTATTTCACTATTTTTCTTTTTTCTTAATTTTTGCAGTCTTTTTCATGCCATATTTACCAAACTCCTCGTTCTCGTATTCGTATAGTACTTTGTTTTCCATTTAATTTGTGCAATTTATATTTGGCCTTTACGATTCCCTCCCTCATTTATTTTTACTTTATTTTCTTTTAAAGAATTTATTATTTTTACTTTATTGTTGATTCCTTGTATAATATATACACAAAGACAGAGGTTAGGTGCTTAAAACTTGCGAAAGGAAACTCGACGGAACAAAACAAAGAGCAGCCAAAGCCATGGCGAGCAAAACAGGGTAGCCATCCCTAGTTAACTGACTTAACTATAGTTGTAGTTGTAGGTAGGTATTACCCTTGATCTACTTCTCTATTAGTATTATCAGCATTTTTGTGCTTTCCTTCTTTTCTCTCTCTAGTACTTGCATCCTCGCCGCATGCTTATATTAGATGTCTTAAAACTTGTTAAGAAAAGAAAATCATTTAACTGTTACATATGTTTATACGATTATGATAATACCGAATTATACAGGTAAAATACAAGGCAGAATTGCTTTAGTAAGTAGTATTATTTATTTATTTATAATTACAAAATTCAAGATTGACATGTAGCGACCGGCCTCTCACGGAATCTACCAGTCATATTCCGTCACTTGCCCGAATGATTATGGTAATTCTGTCTCTTTAGTCTTGATTGTTACGTGAATGAACGACGATTTCAATTCTTTTATGGATTTTCTTCGCCCCGCCTTGTTAGTTTCTTTTTTATTTTATTGTTCCTACTATAATCATTCTTAATGAATAACTAATCATTATCAACATTCTAAACTAATCAAATAGATGCAATGACTCCATTCGTCTAACCTTCCTAAAATCCTAATCATTGACGAGTACGATCTCCCGTGATTTAGATGATATTTCTTAAATAAAATTTATGAAATTTTTTATTAAAAATAATTAAATAAAATTTTAATAAAAATTTCAAATCGATAGATTTAATCTTAGAATATCTTTATATATTTGTCTTGCAGTGTGCGTGAAAGAAAAAATTGCGATTCTGCTCACATGATTTGGTATTCTTATTTGTTCATCATTTATTTCTTCTGCAGGAAGTTTGTAATCTGAGGGAAGTGCTCAGATGGTTGATAATTCCCTAAATACCCATGGAGATGAGATTCTTTACGTTGGCGGTCATGTTTATGCTGAGGATAGCTAATCCAAAAGTCCATTTAGGATGGCCAACTGCATATTTGTCAAGAATTGGAGGAAGAGGTATGATTATGTTATTCTATTATGCTTAAGATTTTTTATTGTACATGGAAGCAGAAATTTATGTGTTTCAAAAGTTCAGTTATTCTATTTTGTGCCAATGCTTTATGCAATGATTTGCTTACACAGTAGTCTATTGAGGATGAATATAATCAGAACCATAAAGTAAAGCAAGAGGGCACCATTGAACTTGAAGTAATGTTAATTATTGAACTGCTGCTGTTGAAAATGACGTTAAATTTGAACAGTAAATTTGGACTATGGATAATACTAAGTGGTATCTAATAATTTTAATCCTCAAATGCTGAGTGCTGAAAATGGTTTTTTAACTACAGTATGATGCTTTAATACATAATCATAGTCATCGTGCAACTCTGATAAAGCTTATAAATCAAAAAGAGGTTATGGTGGATCTTTTTAACCAACTACATCTGGCTTTGCAATGGCGAACCAAAGGACGTCCAGCTCAGGTGACTTTTAATAGAATGGCCTTTTCATTTTTTTTGTTCAAAGGAGGTCAACGCCCTGTTACATGAAAAGGAAAAAGGGGATGCTTGATTCGAATTCAAATTCTAATATCTTTCTTAAGGTTTCTTTTATCACTAGGTTAAGAAGTGAAAGATAAAGAATGGCCTTTGTGATTTATGCTTGGATGTTAGATCCCTGCTTCTTCTACATGCTACAGTGTAATCCCTATTTAGTATAATTTGCTTTGTGAAATATTTGATAGAAGATACCTTTTTACTCTTCATACTTTAGCCTCCCCCTTATAAAGTGATGTTCTAAAATTTTGCGTGTCAAACTAATTTATACCTATTTTTCTATCATAAATAATCTCCTCAAGTGGCCACGACATTTACACTCTCTCTGGCTTTTGCAGTATTTCATGTATTTAATCAAAATTCCACTGTTAGAAGCAGATAGAGAGCTGAGCAATCGTGGTCGTTGATTTTTAGTTTTAGGCTATGTAAGTGATTATTAGTATCATCTACCACAACCATAGCCGAAGAACATTTTAATTTACATTAAAATGTTACATGTCCCTCTTAGGCTTTAATTTTGACTGTGCTGTTTTCTAGCTGCAAAGTTATTATGCTTGTTGAATGCTAAGAATTTTGGAACTCAATAGAACAGTTTTTTAAAAAAGAATTACAAATCTGATGCAGCTATTATCATTTTTATGTTGTTAAATTGTTTTTTTTTTAGCAAGATTTTTCTGAAAATATCAATTATTTTATTATTACATATTACAATAATTTATGTATATCGATTGAGAATACAAAGAATTTCACCACAAAAAGTATTTGATTTTGATATGAATCATAGATGTCCTAGTGTCACGGGTCGAGAATTAAGCTCTAAACCTGTGCGACTTTGGGACTCGAACATCCACTCATCTGACGTTTCAGATTAACTTACCTGTCACGGTTCACACCCTTGTGAGGTATTGTCCGCTCTGGCTCCCTAACCTCACGATTTTGTCTTACAAAAAGCCCCCACCCAACCGGTATTCAGGACTCCTCCTTAGGCCGTGACATTCTCCCCCACCCAACCTCGTGACGCTCTCGTCACAGAGGGTGGCCACCCTGGCTACCTCCCTTGAGACGCTTGGCGTAGATCGAACGGTTTAGGGCTGGCTCTAATACCACTTGTCACGGGTCGAGAATTAAGCTCCGAACCCACGCAGCTCCGGGACCCAAGCATCCACTCATCCGGCATCCCAAATCAACCTACCTGTCACGGTTCACACCCTTATGAGGTATTATCCGCTCTGACCCCCTGACCTCACGGTTTTGTCCTACAAAAGATGTCTCACAAGGAAGAGATGGTGTGAACCCTTATATACCTCAGTGACCTTTCTATTATGTTCGATATGAGATTCAGGACTCCTCCTTAAATCTGTGACACTAAAACTTACTTTAATAAAAGAAAACAAATTATTTGAGTTTATTTGTTCAATATTTAAGTTTGTTTATTTGAACTTATTAATTAGTTCATTTTCATTTCAGAACTGATTGATTGTCTTTCATTACAATAAATAAATTTACTACCAAATATTTTCTTTACATTTTATATATAATTCTAGGAAAAAATGACTTACTAAAATTAAAAATATTCTTTTTATTTCAAAATTATATATCCTTTAATAGATTAACTATGAGTCTCATCAAATTTGATTGAAAATAAAAATTGGACATACTTTCCCTTCAAGCTTGATCAATTACCAATTAGTAAAAAAAAAATTTTCTAAGTTTTTTTTATTAGGTAAATAAAATTATTTTTTTTACATTTTTCTATTTTAATGTATTCTTCATGAGTAAATGGAGATGCATAAATTATAAAGGTGGAATGACAAAAAAATTATATGCATAGATAGAAAAAGAAAGACATTTTTTTACATTTTTTTATTTCTTTAGTTCAATTTATATGTCATAATAGATCTTAATTTATCTTATAGATTTGAATAAAGATATAAAAAAGAAACATACCAATAAATTAAATACAAATTCTTTTTTTTTTTTGGATAGTGCATGGAATATAAATTAAAAAAAAAGGTTATATCATTTTTTTTGTTATTGAATAGAAGTATTTAATGTTATTTTTCATCTCTATTCATTTTTTATGAAATTTGTATAGTAATATATAGATAATTATAATCTAAAAAATCTATAGGATTAAACAAATAATGGCATAAAAACACCTATTGTTTTATTTTTGAAAGTAGATGTCATTGGCATTCAACTATAACCTTGAATAAACCTTTTTTTTTTTAGGGGAAGCTCAAAAAAAGTACTTTTACATCATATATATATATATATATATCTAATTATATATTTATCTCTTAAAATACTTTTTAAAAGTTTTGATTTATTTTTCTATGGTAACAAAAAAATTTTAAACTGACAGTAACCCGTAGTAGGTATGTTACTACTTATTTATTTTTCTTACATGCTTATACAAAAATAATTATATGTTATAATTAGAGGTATTCATGGATCGGATCAAATTGAGTTTAGATTGAGCTCATGTTTAGTATTAATAATTTATATACTTACTCAAATTTGATCTAAAATTTTAAATCCAACTCAAATTAAAAAAAAATTCTCAAATTCACTTATTAAACATAATTTATATAATAAAAAATAAAAAAGTATTGTTAAATTAAATTTAATGAAATTATATATAATTCACATAAAATTAAAAATAAAAATTATATATGTAAAAATTAAAAATAAAAACTATATAAAAAATTAAATTTAATAAAATACATATAATTTTTATTTTTAATTTTTATATTTATATGAATTGATTTATATATAATTTACATATATAAAAATAAAAATTTATATATATATATGAATTCTGGTAGAGTGAGATTAAACTTAAGTTTTAAATTTTTTATCTAAAATTAATTCAAAATTTAAATGAATCTAAAAATTATGTCCAAATCTAATGAGTTTAAATTTTTTATTTAAATTTTTTCAAAATTTAGACCAAATTATAAAATATTTTTTTCAACCAAAAGATAAAAGTAAAAGATGCAAAAAAAATTATCCAAAATAGAAAATCTCTGTTCTTTCTGCTTTCTTCTTTCTTTTTCTTCTCTTCATAATTTTAATCTCATCTCAAGCATCTATCCCTTTGCATGATTTTCTCCGATTGTTGATACCTCTCCTGCGGCGAGTTCATCACCAGAAAGGTTTGTGAGTTCTGATAGCGGGTTATCTTTCTTTTTTTCATTTTCTGAGTCCAACCCCTTTTTCTCATCTTTCTTTTTTCGTTTTCTAGGTTCAACCCCTTTGTCTTGTTGCTTCCTATTCCTTCTCTCTAGCCTTGTCTCACGGCCCCAATCCAGCATCACTAACGTGATTTGATCCACCTCCTATTACTATTTCTCCTTTCCTTCGTACGCTTACGTTCAGAACCTAAGTTTTTCCATTTTTGGGCAATTTATATATTTATATCATAAAAAATTAATAATTTATGTATTTATATAATAGTTTATACAAAAATTATATATCAATATCATAATTTATATGAATATAAAAATATAAAATATATTATTATTATTTTATTAAATTTATATAATTTTTATTAAAATTTTAATCCATCTCCTTTATTTTTTTGTATAGTTTATATATATATATATATATATATAGAGAGAGAGAGAGAGAGAGAGAGAGAGTGAAACTGGAAATTTGACTAGTTCACCGTATCCATACCACATGACATGGGTCAATAGCTAACCGTTAATGTTTATTTAATTAATTTATTATTTACTACCACTAATGAAGGAATCCTAACCAATCCGCGCAAGCTGGGCTGTGAATTCTGATGAACGAAACAACACTGTGATCATAATACCGATAATTATACAGCTGCAATGCAAGAGATGAAATTTTCTAATATTACAATGCAAAAAGAGAAGAAAATAAAAAGCAGCATCTCGATTACCAATCATATACGAATACACCTGCATTTCCACCTAAGTAGCTAAAAATAGCCATATCAATGTTACTTGTCACACATTGTGGCAAGAAACCAAAAAATCAAAAAACAGAATTGACAATGTACACAAGAAAAATTCAACCCGATACCTCCGAACAGAAAAACCAACAAAGTGATGTAGACTCGCAAATATGCATACCCAAAATAGGTCACCACGAAACTTTAATGTTAAGGATATCCCATGTAGACTTTCTACGGATTGATGTTGCAATCTCGCAAATACGTAAGATCATAATCTATATATTTTGCCCAATAGTTTTTATACTTGGATATGCCTATCTCCAGCCATGGTTTCAAGTTGCCATTATAGTGTATAACAGCAGCTCGCTCAATCTCCCTCTGCTTGACATTAGGATTGTAACCAAGCCCGAGCACATGCCAATATCTGTCAAGGGGAAAAGTGCGTTTCCAAAATGTTATGAGGCCAGCAGGCAGCGTCCCCAAATTCCACAATTGCCTGTCATGATTCTGCAAACAAATTTTCCTTCAAAATAATTTAAAGAAAAAAAGATAATACACCAGTATAACACCACTTACTCTTTAAGTATAGGGTACATCCACAATGAACTCAAAAAAACTTAAATAAAACTCACAACCTAGTCTTTTGCATTTATGTCAGCACTCAGAAACAAGTGAAATCATATTCATGACAGCGACTGAAAAAAATTGTCAAACAAGCTTCCACTTAACAAGAGTAATTATGTGATCACCAATTAAGACTTGCAAAGCGAACAAAATAAACTAACTTGGTTTCTAAGGAACTCTCATGCCTATTTTATTATCTGATCAGCCAGGATTTAAACATCACTTACCCGCTTCTGCCATCTATGATATACCTCTGTGATGTTTTGCCGCCTCCACTCCTCCAAATCAAAAATATTCATTCCATATGCCCATCCACAAGCATGTGGGTCGAAGTTGTTTGAGATTAAAGGATTTGAGAAGTTAAGGTACCGATCAAACCGATGGAAGCTTTCCCCACAAGTCTCAACAGCACCATTAACATTGCCCTTCAAATCAAGAGACCAAAGACCACTAAGGTCCTTCTGGACAACAATATCATCATCTAGGAACAACACTTTATTGAGCTTTGGGAAGATCTCGGGTAGGTAAAACCGAAGATGGTTCAGGATAGACAAATATTTTGGGTTCCGGAACTTCAAATTTGAATCAGAACTAGCCCGATATGCCCTGAAGTAATAATCAATCATGGAAGGAGAACCTAACTGCTTAAGGACTGGACTGTAGCTTGAGTTTAACCATGTAAATTCTTCAATGCTCTGCACCTGTATAGTGGCTTTCCCTGGTGGATTACCTAGAAACCACATCTTCATTGCCGCATAATTAAGCCTATCCGTAACAATGTGGAAAACATGACTTGAAGGGTGCTGCCAGGAATTAGGTGAATTTGATGAGTTCAACATGTCAACCAAAAGCAGGGGCTCAAATGTCCTTATTTACATATCAAGTTATTTTATAAACATGCATGCATGCATGCACGCACATGTGCTCCAACATACTTCCCATGGGTGAAAAATTAAAAATAAATGATAATGGCAATCTTAAGATTAAAAGTGATAAACCATTTCTCTTTCTACTAGCAACCAAAGGAAGTACAAGCTGAGTCTCTATAGAAGAGAACATTTACCTTAGCATGGGAGACAGTTGAGTTTACAACAACTGCTGCTGCTAATACATTATCCGAGAAAAGTGCATAATGGTACAGCCAGGGGTCTTCTAATTTCTCTTGATTTAGAAAGTTCTGTTGTGAAGAATTCAAGGAATAATACTCGGTAGTAAGACGCAAAGGTAGGCAATGAAGACCCTTGGGAAGTGTTTTTGCATTTAATTGTGTCAAGAACGTGGTCTGTTTTTTGTGCGCTCGGAGTTGCTCTTCAGTTGAGTGGAGCATAGCCCGAAGCTTCTTGATCATAGCAGCACAGTCATCTTGAATCTGCTTAACTTTTTCTAATGATTGCTCCATTGCTTTCAATTTTTCAAAGGCACTGCAATAAGATCCACATTAACAGATTAAAGCAATGTGGAAACCACATTCTACACCTAAAATCCTTCAAAAGCTTGGGTGGCTGAAAATGAAAAAAAAAAAAAAGGAAAGCATGCCAAATAGAATTTGACAAATGAAAAGAAATTAAGATTTAAAGTTTAAGCAGAGTGCAGCAGTCATTCGGTCAGAGAGAAGACTTACATTTTTGGCAGATCAGTGTCATTGGCTGCATCACCAAGAGCACGTGAAACTTCCTTAATCCGCAATCGAAGCTCCCTTGTAACATGTGGGTTGTTCTTAATGGGTGAAAGAGAGAGGTAGACTTTTGCACGGATGAGCTGGTCCTTGAGGTGGCGTACCTTAGCATCTGCTGGTTCAGTCAATCTGTCAGATTTGTTATCTGAATGCCCTTTCTGATCAATCTTGCCAGACGACTGAGTGGGTTGTTGCTCAAGTTTTATAGCCTATTGATAGAGTAAAGAGGGTAAAATTGTTAACTAAGTCCACATTTAGGTTCAAAGTTTCCTTTTTTTATGAAACCTGGAAATGTGCACCATTGAGAAACTGGTTTTAACTGAAGAGAAACAATTATTTTTAAATACAAAGCAATTATTGGTAGAAAAAAAGCAGTACAAAGTGCCAACAATCTAGAAAGGGTTAGTGAATAACATCTCTTCGAAGTTAAAGCTTACATGACCTTTATCAATGAAGTATTAGTTTTGATATGCAATCCAAAATTGAAGGAAACCTTTAACATCAAGACATGGAAAGAGAAATTAAAAGGTAGAAGTAGAAGATTAAGGGTAGAGTCACATCTCCCTATTGCTAACAAGTAAAGCACCTTATATAGCCAATGTTCAGAATTTATAGAAGGGGAAAATTGGCATTTCCATTGTAACCAAACGAGCTCTAACGACTGATGCACAAACAGTGTCAAAATCCTTACAAGATGAGAGGCAACCATCCAGGGAAGTAGGTTATAATAAAATTAAAAGAAACGGGGCTCTACAGAAATCAAAATCAACAGAAACCGGGATGAAAAGCAACATGCTATAGCAATATGAAAAGAAGAAAAAGTGGGCCGATTTATAGTTGTCGAAAGCTAAAAGCAAAGCTCTGAACCGGTTCAGAAAATGAAGAAATGAAATGAAACACAAAAAAAAAAAAAAAAAAGAAATTACCAAGTGGTTAGATGCACTGGAATGGGAATCGAGGGTAGGGGTGAGATTCGCAGAAGCAGGATCGGTGACCTGTCTAATTGCTACGGGGTTGTGTAATTGGGTTTGACGTTCTTCATTTGTAGCAGAAAGCATTCGTGTTGATTTATGCTCCCTCGTGTTTGTCGTTTGGAAATCTAACACCATCAATTCACATTCGCATCGCCCAAATTAAAAGTAAAAAAATTTGTTCTTTAAATGTACAAAGAAAAAGGAAAAAGAAAAATCATTTACCGTTGGAAAAGGAATTGGTAGAGTGGTCAGAATATACGATTCCAACCGGTTCTTTGAGGACGGTGGAAGTTTCCTATGACGAAAAATTAGAGATTGAAGGCGTTAGATCTGAAAGCAATCAACGAAATGCCTGCCCTGGGCAACAAATCTGCTATATTACTACCTGGGGAAGAACATTGAGATGCCTAGTATCGCCGGACAGCGTCTGCAGAGAAAAAAAATTATTGTGGTTCACACTATTATTATTGTGAAACGCAAGGAAAGACGAAAGAAACTTACAAAAGCTGCAATATCATCAAGAAAGTTGCGTCTTGCTGCAGAAATTGCCGTTAAATTTTTCAAAAAAAAAAAAAAAAGAAAGAGAGATCAGCGTCAAAAAAGGGAAACAGGAAAAATGAAAGGCAAGCCCATAATTACTTTTTTAAAAAAAAAAGGAAAAAGAGTAACAGAAATATACATACAAGAAGAGAGGCTGAGGAAGGTGCCGACCCTATCAGTGTAAAGAAAGATGGGGGCAATGACGGAAACCGACAGCAAACACAACACTATATGCCTAACCTTCATCTTTTTCCTTTATATTTTTACAATAATTTTCGCATTTCTTTAACACAACAACAAGCAATAAAAGAAAATAAAGAAAACAAAAACCCCTGTTCCTGTGTGTTTAGTAATTTGTTTGCAAAGATGAAAAGAAAGTATAACAGAGAGAGAGAAAAGAACGGCTCTAGTTCTAGTTCAGTTGTAGATTAGATAAACGATCTGAATGATGAGAGAGGAGAGAGAGAGACAGATGCCCTTTCACATTATTTACTGTATATATGTATTTATTTATTTATTTATTTTTGGATGAGGAGTAGCACTATTTTTTTTTTATTTTTTTAATTGGTCAATGGTCAATCATTGCTGTGGCATGTTCGTGTCGTGTTGGACAACTTTTTTATGCAAAAATTTGTAAGCTAATTTTTGGTTCCACGTACTTCCAGGTATTGAAGAAGCAGGGCTTAGCTTATGATTCCTGATTCGGGTGATTTTGGCACTTCAACCAATTGCAAACCCCGCTGATACGCGTCATTGTTATTGTGATTCTCTCATTTTCCTTTTCTCCTTACTTGTTGCTAATGGATAAAAACGTAAGAGTTGCCTTTTTTTCGGCAATGGGGCTAACAACTCTCACTCTTGACTTATTTGTCTGTGTTGCTGCGTGCCATTGAGTTGGGTGTCTAACTGTAGTGAGCTGTCAGTATTTGTATCGATATCTATACGTGGCATTAAAAACAAAGGTGTCGGCAGACTGCTCACTTTTTTTTGTTACCATGCTTCTCTATATCTATTTTAGAGAGATATAGAATACTCAAAATTAGATACGATAAAGGTGAGTTTGAAATTGATTTTTGTATGTTTTGATTTTAATTTGATTTTATAAAATATATATTTGTTTTGTTTGAATTTGATATTAAAATATTATTTTTATATTTAAATCATATATATATATATAATGATTCAATCTAAAGTTAATTTAATAATTTTAATTTAATAAAATATTAATAAAATATTTTTAGGGTTTACGTAGATAATATTTGTAATTGTTGTACGTCATCGCAGTAAAAATCTCCCGCTCCTCCTCCTCCTCTTCTTCTTCTTCTTCTTCTTCTTGTGCCGTTCCATTTATTCCAGATTTCTGTCAAGAAAGGGATATGTTCAAGTCAACTCAGAGATGGCAGCCCCAATTTAACATGCTTTCCCAGGAAAAGGACATCTTCTGAACAACACATCCCTATGCTTTAATTTCCAATATAATCTAACATTTTACAACAAAAGCTAAAAAATGAAATACATATGCAGCATGCGGCTGTAATTTTTTCACAACAATAACGATCCAAATGATAGTGTGATTAGAGTTTTGCTGAATGTGGGCAAGAAACTTGGAAAATGGGATGAAGTGAAAAGTGTGAGATGAATTCAGATTGCAATGTAAAATGAAGCCCAAGGACTAGCATCACACTATGAAATAGGAACTAAAAAACATCCATATACCGGAGCCTGAAGCCTGTAGTGGTAGGGCTGGACGGAAAATGTGGAAAAATGACAGAAATGGAATGGACCCAATATGCTGTCCATCTCATGTCGCTCTAAACTACAAGCAATATAACATATTAATAGGAAATGTATTTCATCTATAAAAAAAAAAAAACATATTATTAGATGATAATATAGTGAAATAAGCCATCTTGGTTGTAAATCTGAACCCTTTTTTGTAACTCTTGATGTTCAAGGGAAGGTTTGTTTCCATACAAGTGATTGGTCTTGTGCTCACTGAAAACTGCAAACTGAAAACGATGATGATTAAGCTTCACTCCGCTCACACGCTACGCCATTTTAAGCTGAACCGTCTCAACCACAAATGCATGCACGCGGCAAACATTCTGCCTGTCACGCATTTCGCAGTTTTGCCACTCTTGCTTCTCACTACCAGCATCAACGAAGCAAATTGCAAATGGGTAGTTTCCTGGTTTTGTGTTTTTTTTCCCCCCGCTGAATCCTCATCCTTTCATCTCTCCATCCTATTTTTAGCACCAGAGGCCGCTTGCCATAGGCCACTCTCTTCGTTCTATTCTTAATCAGATTTCTCCACTCACACCTCCATTAATTTTGCTACAACGTTAATGGCAACTACTTTGTTTGCAAACGTGAGACGATAATGCCAGCCTGACGGAATTGAAGGGATATCAACCTGAACTTGAGAAAATCTTGCACAGAAAGAGGGATTTTGCCTTGCTTGTCGAACTCACAATTGGGTCTTGAACGTTACATGAATACAAGGTGAAGCGATGATTTATATCTAATTTGTGGCAATTTTTTTCTTAAAGAGTTATGAAGTAAGGAAAAGTGAAAAAGAGTTTTCATAATGTTCATTTATAAGGAAAAAAAAAAAAAAAAAAAAACCTTATCTATTTTCCCATCCTGGCGAGTCCACAATTTTCCGCTTAGCTTCCTATTCATATCACCGCTACAGATGTAAAACTCCAGATATGGTATTCAAATTCATCACCAGTATAGGAAATTGCATAGTTCACTTTGATGATTTACTTTCAAAGTGAAGGACCCTATTTTATCCAACATCTAACCACCTTTCAGATGATTATCCTGGGTTTCCACATTTGCTTTTAAACATTATTGAGCTTTCAGCAATTAACTATATCTGTACTTGACAGTTAAGGGCACGTATGAAGTTTCACTCTACCTCGAGCGGTTGAGTCCGAATCTAATAACCATCTCATTTTATGGTCTAACAGACGTCCTTTTCCCTTGAATTTTGCGTCCTATAATATCATCATGTCAGGACAGGACTTGCTTAACCACCGACTTATTTTCATTGCAAAGCCGGAGAACAAGGTCATGTCAACATTCTGTCTACTCGTAAGCTCGAAACAGAGATCGGTGATGGGTCAAGAACCAGCATCCATATCAACATTCATTTTTGGTTCGTAATAACCACCTGCATTACCAGTAGTCACCACAAGAACAGGAGCCATCATAGAAATGATGGAATCGATTGGTATCCCTTACAATGATTTCCCTTCTCATCACTTGCGACACAAATTTAATTGCTGAATGGCAGTCACCACAAACTCTGATATTCTTCTTGATACGAATTGTGGATCCAGGAGGAGCGTTGAGAAGTGCAAATGCCAGCGCAAGCTTCTCGCTGTGGTACTGCAACTTTACTTCCCTCTCCTGCTGGTCCATATAGAAAAGCACATGGCTGGTGTCCGGGACATATCCGATTTGCTTGATCCTCACACTAATCTCCTCCCACATCTTACGGATTTCCTCTATCTGCGGGTGGGCATCATCATTTGCCACAAACACATGGAGTGTATTCTCAATTTCCACCCAACTACAGGCAGGCTCCTTCTTTACCCCGCTCTCTTTCATCATTTTTCTCACTTTAGCAGCATCACTCCATCTACCAGCAGAGGCATAAATATTAGAGAGCAAGACAAGGGGTCCTGAATCATGGGGATCAAGCTCAAAAACACGTTCAGCAGCATAAGTGCCCAACTCCATGTTCTTATGCATCCTACATGCGCCAAGCAAGGCTCCCCAAACAGCTGCAGTGGGTTTGATTGGCATTTCTCCTATAAACCTCTTGGCTTCATGAAGATGACCAGCTCGACCAAGAAGATCAACCATAGTAACATAATGTGAAATCTGAGGTTCTATGTTGTAGTCCCTCATCAATTTGAAAAAGTATTGGCCTTGGTCCAAGAGTCCAGCACGACTACAAGCAGTAAGAAGGCACAGAAATGTTATGTCATTAGGCACAACTCCAGTCCTCAGCATTTCTTGAAACCATTGCACCGCTTCCTTGCCAAGCCCATGCTGGGCATATGCAGTAAGCATGGAATTCCAAGAAACCACGTCACGTTGTACCAACCTATCGAAAATCCTTTTAGCATCTTCGATGCTACCAGATTTTGCATACATGTGGAGAAGGGTATTCCCCATAAAAGCAACGATCTCTCCACCGGATTTGATCACATGAGCATGAACCCATTTGCCTTGTTCCAGACATCCCGTGGAGGCACAGGCACCAAAAATGCTGGAAAAGGTGAAATGACTGGGTTGAAATTCTTGCCTAAGCATCTTCCAAAAGAGCCAAAGTGCATGGTCAGCTTGGCCCTTCCTAGCATAGCCAGCAATCAAAGCATTCCATGAGACATCGTTCTTGGTATGTAGGGCATCAAAGACGAGGTGGGCCTCATCCATGCAACCACAGCGAGCATACATGTCCAAAAGGGAGCTGCCCACGTAAACGTTGGACTGGAAACCACACTTGAAACAAAAAGCATGAAGTTGGGTACCGTGGGAGTGGATGTGGGGTGTGTTAGTGAAGGCAGCGGAAGCCTTTAAAAGGCTAGACAAGGTGAACTGATTGGGAAAGAAACCCAGGGAAAGCATGTGAGGAAACAAAAGGAGAGCATGGAAAGGGCGATCACGCTGAGAATAGGCAGTGATCAAGGTAGTCCAAGTAACCATGTCTTTTAGAGGCATTTCGTCGAACAACTTGCGGGCATCGTCCAAGCAGCCACATTTGCCATACAGGTTAAGGATGGTGTTGAGGATGACTAGATCATGTCGGAAGATGGAGTCGAGAAAGTGGGCATGAACGATTTTGCCTAGTTTGAGCTTTCTCAAGCGCGTGCATTTTTTGAGCAAGAGATGGTAGAGAGTTGGGTGGGGTTCCAGAGAACCCCGATCGAGGAGGTCCAAAACGTGAAGGCCAGTTCCTGAAGGATGCAAACTCCTACAGAGAAGGTCCTTGTCTTGGATGATGCAAGAAGAAGAAGAAGAAGAAGAAGAAGCCCATGGCATTTGTTTGTGAGGGAGTAGAGCGGGTGCAATCGCAACCGCAGAGGTGCTAAATTGGGAACAAGCATAAACTACTCTACAATTCAATTTCATCACCATTTTACGATTATTATATATAATATAATAAATATTTATACAAGCAGTGCTCTTGGGAAAGCCATTGACGACTTGCTGCTTAGGAGTTGCTCCGTCCATCATCCACGTTTCATTTTATACTAGTAAATTCCCCTCGCGTAACGCTGCGAGGAATTGTAAGAAAAAGAAAATTTTTTATTTGCTCTATTTATTGTAAAATGACAAATATTTAATTATTAAATTATTTAAATCTAATATATATATATATATTATATATAATAACATATATATAAATAAGTTTGTCACATAAATACGAATAACTCTCTTGGATGACACATAAGATAATTTTTTAAAAGAATAAAATAATTTTGATTAATTACAAATTAAATAATTTTAAATTTATTCAAATTATAATAAAAAATTAAATCAATTTAGAGATATATTTTTTAAAATTAAAAATATGAAATATGAATTTTATTTTCTTAATAGATAATTTTAATTGTTTATCAAATAACCTTATTTAAAAAATTATTTAATTATAAAAATATTTTAAATATGTTTAAAAATTACAAAGATTAAGTTTATTCAAATTTTTTAATAATCTTGTTTTATTTTAATTTAAAAAAATTATTTTAAAAAAAATTTTATATAAGATATTAAAAATTCAAATAATTTTATATAAGATTTTGAAAATTTAAAAAAATTTCATTTGAAATTTTTAAATAATAAAATCATCAAATTAATTATATCCATTTGAACTTTAATTATCAAAATTATATTTCAAATAAATGTAAAAATTTTAATATTATCTTTATTACATATTATTTTCATTTTAAATTTTAAAAAATTAATTTAAAAATTATTTATTTAATCCTAACTACCATTAAAGAATATTTTTACAAATTTAAGACTACAAATGCAATGTGTTATATATTAATTTTTTTATTTTTTCAATAACTTTTTTTCAAGGTATATTCTATTACTATTGTAATTTTTTTTTTTATGTATAACTTTTTTTCCAAAATATATTTTATTGTTATTACAGTTTTCATTCTTATGAAAAATCATATTTTTTCAATTTATTTTTTTTCACATATTTTCTAATATTTTTCCTATTTTACAAAATAATTTAGTTAAAATTACTAAAGTAAAAGTATGTTAATGTTTCTTTTATTATTTAATTTATCATTCAATAATATGTATTTTTATTTTTTCAAGAAAAGCATAATTTATTTTTATTTGATATAATCTTACATGTATATAAATATTATTGTAAACAAAAATTAAAAAAAAAAAAAGATATAATTTTTTCTTACTATTTTCATAAATTTATTTTTTAATGACAAGTTAATATATATAAATTTTATATATACTATAAGTTTTAAAGATTTAAATAATTTTGAAAAAAAACTAATTTATAAATATATTTATATTAAATAAATAAAATTATTTTATACATTGTACGAGTTATAACCTAGTTCTCTTTAATAGTAATAGTATTTATCCATTTCATTTTGAGATTTGTTTTCAATATTTTTCAATAAAAACACTATTGATGAACAACATATTTACATTCTCTCAATTTTTTATTATAATATTTTTCATTTTATGTATTATTATATTTTTTAATTATAGAAAAAAGTGTTATGTTATATTATTATTATTACTATTATTTATCGTTTCATTTATCTAAAAATCTAAAAAAAATTCTTAATTTTGATAATAATAAAAATTATTATTATTATTATTATTATGATCCATTGAAATTAATTCTTTTATTCGAACAAATTGTAAGAACTCTCTTTACACTTTGTTAAAGTTTACTATTTTTTTTTTTCAATTTAACAAAATATTAAAAGAATATTATTACGAATAATTTTCATTATTGGAGAAATTTCAAATGATTATTTTTATAATTAATTTTATTTTTTTTATTTATTTTCTTCCTTTTCTCTCTCTACCAACAGTTTCTTCTCCTTTTCTAAAATCTAGAAACATAACCTTTAATCTTACTGGATTCCAACCTTTTTCATTGATCAACCCACCATAAAAGCTCCATTACCTTCCTCATTTCATAACTTTTTAGTTTTCTATTGATTATCTTTCAAGAAAACTCGAAAAAATCTAAAATCTAACAATTTAAACTCTCAATCCTTTTTTTTTCTCTCTATGATCTCTTTTCTCTATCCTTTACCTAACACATTATTTTTCTCCGGTTATTTTGCCTTTAAAAAGCTTTCTCCTCTACAAAAAGTCCAAAACTCAAAAACCTAACCATAATTGCCGCCATTATCGCTGTTAGAGGTGGATCACTCTTTACTCGGATTTCTTTTCCAATTTTGATTTTTGGTTAGATGTTTTTTTATTGTTGGTTGACTGGTGGCTGATTAATGTTTTTAGTGTTATTTTAAATATTTTCTAGTTTCAAAAAATAAATGAAATCTAGGTTTTATGTTTTTAGTATTATTTTGTTGTGAATCTATTGCTGATTGGTTTTTTTTTTTATTATTATTTTTGGAATTCGAAATATCAAAAAAATTACTTAAATTTATAAAAAAAATTCTTTTAAATTTGTGTTGTTATTTTTGTTATTTTGTTGGTGTTTTTAATTGTATTTTTTACTTTTAAATATAACTATTTCTGGAATTCAAACATGTTCGACTTTTTGTTTATGAGAAAATTTTAACTTTTCAAATATATTTGTATAACATTGATCTGTGTTTTTTTTATTGATGTGCTATTGATTTTGTTGGTTTTTCGTTTTATTTTATTGTTGTGTTGTTGATTTATTGATTTCGTTGGGGCTTTTTTTTTTTTTTTTTATACTGATCTGTGATTAAAGTATCCGTGATTAGGGGTAAAATAATCTTTTCTTGTAACATTAGAATGGCTTCTTATCTGATTTTAGTTTTGTTTTAATCATTTTGGGAGGGACTGGCTCAGTTCACTCGTCCTCTGTAACAGAGCTTATTCAACAAAACCAATCCCACTTCCTAGTTTCAACCCTCCATTTTTTAGATTTTTGAGTATTGTCCTTCTCACTTCTTCAGGCTTAGGATTATTTGCATGGGTCATGAAATTAATTTTAACGAGATTAAAATTTATAATAGAGGTAAGATTAATTATTTTAGTAGTGAGATTTAAAATAAATAGTTAGATATTTGTATAAGATCATAACCTATATAAGATGTCAAAAATCATTTTTATATAAGATCATGATTGAGTAGAGATGTCAAGGAATAAAATTTATATGCTAGATAAAAAAAATTTTATTTTAAATATTTTAATAGTTCTTGATAGTATAAGTATAAAAAAAACTCTTAAACTCTTTTAAAAAAATGAACAATTGACAAATTATTAGACTATTTCACTTATTAAAATACATGCTAAACTACTCATTTAGGATTATTTTTTTAGCTCCGACAATGATAAAACTCGATGATTCTTTTGTAATTTTTGCTAACTTTGTTGAAATTAATGAAACATCTCTTTTGGACACATAGGGGTCAAGTTAATATACGTCCATTATGCTCTGTATTTCATTGTCTATTATTGAGATTAACTTGTTACTTATTTAAATTTTGAGTTATTTTGATTGACTTATGTAGAAGCATCCAAGTAAGACAATCTTCCGAACTAACCAGCGAATACCTATCTCTTGGAGGAGCTTACCTCCATCACACGAAACATTGAAGAGTGCATGAGAAGAATCCTAAGTAAGAACATCGAAAACTTAACTATTGCACACAAATTGAACTCATACAAACTGAATTTATGAACTATTTCCTAGATTTCTATACAGAACAAATTATTCTAGCAAATTTGCACAAAATATCGAGATGAGGCCAGAAGGCAATAATCATTTGCAGCTCAACACACTGTTTATGACAAACATAAGAACTCGGGTGCCGGCGGATTCTGATACAGATGTGCTAGGCAAGCTATGTAGATGATCCACAATCTGACAGACCAGCCTAAAGATGGGTAGCACGTGTAGGGCAATCATTGGATATGAGGGGTTTATGGCAACAGGTACATCAGTCATCCATGCCAGCTTTCTAGATGTTTCCTTGTTGACATCACAAGCCAGTTGCTGGAAAAGAGCCAGCAAAACTCCTTGGCGCAGTGCGCATGGTTTCATCGACAAAATCCCTTGTAGATCAACCTAGTGAATTAAGAGCAAAGTAAGGTCTGAAAGTAGAGATTTCTGTTATGCGCATAATGGCTTCCGGAAAGTAATGTCATCACCAATTAGACTAAAAAGAATTCAAAGTGCAAGATCCTTCAGCTATTCATAGCTAAGGAAAACAATTAAATTTCCATGTTATCAAATCGCTCCAAATACACATATATACAATTAGCATGATCCCTTTCCTGGCCTGGACCAGCAATCTTGCATGGTTTATCCAGTCATCAATCCCAAAAGGCTTAGAAAGTAAATGCTTTATGTTGGCATATTCTGAGGCAAACATTGGTTAGATTTATTACCACCGCATCAAACCATAGACGAGGGTCTCTGATGTGCAAAATTTTGCTATAATGAAACAATATTTACAGATTGTATGAACACATGCATGTTATTAGCCACTTACAATGAGAGTTCGACTATTCAGTGGTGTATACAAGCAAGAAGCAGAACTTACCTGAGAACACAACCAGGAAACTATCGAGACATCCCTTCTGTGTAGGGCTGCAGTGAATGCTTCATCATATTTCCTCTCAGCTATCATTCTTGCTAGTTCTTTTGTTGGATCCACATGTGCCTCAGGCAGCTACACACATATAAACCTCTCAGAGTGAGGCAAAAAAACATGAATGCTTCACAAGTTGTAAATACAGTCAGATTTACTCTTTATTTATAACAAATTACATTTCTTTGCATCAAAGATTTTCTTCTTCTTTCTCTATTTCCTGGGTTTTTTTTTTTTTTTTTTTTGGGGGGGGGGGGGGGACGAGGAAAAGAAAGAGGAGCATACCATCTCATGCAGATAAGCCAATGGTCCATTACTCAACTGTGTCACCAAGGAATTTCCTGCCTTGGAGTGGCACCTGTAGCTGCTATAGCTAGTAGTTTACGTTGCCTATTGGCCAATTCTCCACTTCAGGCATGTGTGATTGAAGTTGCCGAGTTAATAGCATCCTGCAAATATAAA